AAGTCTATCCAATTAAATAAGTTTATAAATTAGGTAGTAATACTAAACTTTTGGCAGTAATTTTTTAACAGTATAACTGAAAAAAATGCATGCTGTTTACAGATTCATTTCTATTAGTCTCATGAGGTAAACACAACTGAAATGTTACAGTCACCTAGTGACATGAAAGAAACTGAAAGACAGCTTGGGCTATCTAGTTATTCAATAATAGTTTTTTTCAATAATAGTTTTAATACTATACTCTATATTATTTCTTTATTATTAGTTCATGTCTTACAAAACTCAAAATACTTCAGATGCCTAGAATACAATGGGTTTGTTGTCAGGAAAAAATACAGCTTTATGCCATTATGGAAGATTTACTTGAAAATGTTTGAACTGAGAGCTAGGGATGTAGTTAAGTGGTATAACACTTGTCTAGCATTCACAAGGCTCGCAGTCTGACCTTCAGCACCTCAAAAATAAAGTTTGATTTGGAAAAGTATAGGGAAAAAACCTCATGTTGCACTGCTGTACAAGTCTATCTTTAAAACATAAGCAAAATTAATGTCATATTTGTATGATGGTAAAGATAAAATTAAAAATCATTACGCTTCTTGGGCCAGGGAGATAGCTCAGTGGAATAAGTGCTTGCCTGGCAAGCGCAAGGTCCTCCTGAGTTCCACCCCTGGTACCACAAAGAAGCAAAACAAAAAAAAAAATTATGTTTTTTTGGTTTGGTTTTCCACAACTCAAATTGTTATTGCACTACAGGGACATACCCCACAAAATTGATTTATATTCTCCTTTAGTTTTAGATGATTTGGACAGCACGCTGGCTCAAGAACAGTCCACAAGCTCAGTGAATGCCAGCGCACCCTACAACTACGGATCGAGAACCCAGTTCAGCCATTGTTACTCCACTGGCAACAGGCATAGTAACATCACTGGAAGACATAAAAATCGCTATAATGAAACTTCTAATATGTCCATCTATGACATCCTGAGACCAGGAGCTCCAAGGGAAGGTTTTAAAACTTTTTCTCCCAGGACAAAAACAATTTATGATATGTACAGGACAAGGGGGCCCAGCATCTCAAAAGAAGATTATGTGCCAAAGAATACTTTTGGCAGTACATCTTTGTGTTTTGACAGCCGGCAACGACCTGCCGTAGGAGCCACGAGGCATTTCACAGCAAGAAGCTCACACTTTCCAGCTGCAACTCAGAGCAAGAGTAGATTTACACCACCGAACTACCAGCAGAGCCCGAAGAGAACTCCGTTATCCTCCATCATCTGGAACAGATCAGATGCTTCTAGAGACAGGCAGAGCCAGCAAGAGTTCTTGACGGCACCATCACCAATGGAAATGGACCCTGCAGACCAGTGTGTGAATCCCAGGTATTTTCAGGGAAATAGGACACATGAATTGTACCATTCACAAAACGTTTACCAAAGTGTTCATCTAAATGCCCCAATGGATAATGCAATGAGCTCTGATGCTTTTGAGAATTTAGAGAATATGCCATTCTATCAGCAGGACAACCCATTTGCTAGGTCTTTCTTTAGTAGTACCTTTGGGCAAAGCAGAGAACACCAATTTGTCCAAAGTTCTTTTTGGGACCACCGGGAAGAACATATTTCTTGGTCTGACTTTGATCAAAGCAGGAAACCATTCGTTTATTCTAACAGAGACTTTGAAATGATTTCCATTGAAGCAGACAGTGTGCCTGCTGCTCAGGGCCATGGCGTCCCTTTCCAACACTGGGAGCCACTTTCTACTGGCTATGGAACTGATGTTTTCAGAGGCCAAGAAGAGCCACATCCCTGGAAGGCTGACTTTCACACAACCCCACTGGAGAGCATGGAGATATCAAACAGTATTGAGAACCAATTTGGCACACAAAATATTTACTCCATGCCTGGTTCAAGCTATCATCTCAAGTCTAGTGCTTCAGGACACTGCCAAGATAGTTCACCTGTACAAACACATATACGCAAAGAACCTTATTCATCAAGAATGGATCAGACTTTAGCATCCTCATCCAAAACTTCCTTCCCCCAGATTCCTGATGACAAACGGAATTCTCAGAGTCCCACTTTTCTGAATTCCACGATCACTTTGCAGAAAGTTATTCCCAATAAACCAGACACCCTGCCGATAGGAAGCCATACAGGAGTTACCACAGCCTACAGCAATTCAACCGATCTGTCACCTTTTGCTGAAACCCAGCTCAATAGCTTGGTCACAGAAATGAATAATGAGAAGGAGTCAACTGTATTTATTTTAGAAGACAAACAGCTAAACAAGGTGGCCCAGACAGACATGACAGGTGACATACCTCCACCTGTTTCACAGACTGACAGACAGACAGACCCTTTACCTGATTTTCAAAAACCCCTCTCCCAGGAGCCAATCAAAAGTGACAAGATGAGTTTTAAGGTGTCTACTACAGTCCATTCAAAGGGGTCTCCAAGAGGCTTTCCCAGGAAGGATACCTCCAAATTTTCCCTCTTATATAGAGACAAACCCACTGAACTTAAAAAAGAGAAGTGTTTTCCTGGGAACAGAAAACTTGACTCAACAGCTTCCCTTCTGTTCTCTCAGAAAAGCAGAACACCACCATGCTTCCCCAGTCCAGATCCAAGTTGTCACCTAGAATTAAAAGTAAACAATGCAGATTTTTCAGACACTATTCAAAATAACATCTGGCACTCTGGACATCTAGACAATCAAAACACAGAATTACCAGAGGAGACTGCTAGCTTAGACACTGAAAGAGAGCAAAGTTCCACAACTCATTCTACCAACTGCAGCAAGCATACTACCTCATGTGATTCTTTAGATCTGTCAAGTGCACCACTAGATTCCTCACCATCCAATGATGCTTCCCTTGATGCTTTTGGGATTCTGTCCACCACAGTGTTCTCCAAGAGACGCCCATCAGACAAAAGTCCATCTCTGGAAGAAAGAGAAGAAATAGACAATGGGAGAAAGAACCAAAATAATCAATTTACCGTAAGCTCCTTAGAAAAACAAAAGAATAATGATAGTCATAGGTCTGTGAATGACAAAGTGTGTGATGTCATTACATGTCACTCCTACTCTCCTTTTAGAAGTGGAAGTGGAAAAGGGAAAGGAAGAGTAAGGCGCCACATATCTTACATTGAAAAGCTAAGCAAACTGGATAGCACATCAGTACCCACAACTGAAGGCAGGAGCCTCACTGAAGAGAATCAGAGTGAATCCAAACCTTCTGAACATAGCACCATTTATTGTACCTTGCCAAGAAAATCAGCTAGTTGTCCCATATACGGCAAGCAGTCAGAAAGTAAGATAGTAGCTGCTTCTATTAGGAATGGGCCACCTCCATTCCAGATCAAAAATAATATGGGCGGTCCAGGTGGCAAGTACACAGCAGATGAACTCAGTCCCATTTCTCCTGAGTCAATGAGCAAATGTTCCAGAGTTGTTTCAGATTCAGCCTTGTTTCCACCTGAAGCCACAGCAACAATGACGGGTATGAAAGTCATCAGACCTGCTTCTGTTAGGAAAGGACCCCTACCATTCCTCATTCAGAGAGCTGTGTCATGTCCTTTAGGGGAGCTATGTGCCTCAACTAGAAGCGAAGACAGAGAAAAAGCAGTGGGCTCAGACACAGATGCTTCTGCTATGACACTCAGGCCTTGGGAGAGAATCACTGACCCTCTGGAAAGTAACCCAGCCACCAGAGGTGGCCGAAAAGAGTTCTCTCAAGAATGCACTGAAAAAGATGGTGAAATTTCTGCCTCTGCAACAAGTGTAGGTACTCTTTCAGGTGAAGACCCTTTACGTTCTGGTGTAGAGGTATCAGAAAAAGGAAGTGGGAAAGCATTACATATATTTAAGACTACTAGTACATTTTCTGTGTCTGGTGATGAAGATAATGTAAAATGCCTAGAGGTGGTTTCAATATATTATACGCTCCCAAGGAAACCCAGCAAAAAATTCCGTGACCTTCTTCAACAATATATACAAAGTACCAATTCCCTTACAGAATCACTGCAAATGGACACTGAAATATTTTCTAAGGCTTTAGAAGAAGACAAAGGAAGTTATTCTACGCATGTACAGTCAGGAACATCTTCATCTGAAGATCTAAAACTACTAGGCAACCCTACTCAGACTCGTCTTTCTCACACTACTGACAGTCCGGCTGCCTTCCAGTCACCAAATGGGTCCTCGGAGCCTACATTACAGGAAAGGACTTGTGCTGGGGCAGACGTTTCTCTTCATAAAGGGGAATCTAAAACCAGAGAGATTCCCTCACATAACTTAGATAAAACACCTCTAGGTGTTCCAGAAAACAAGAAAGAGAGAGGAAAACCATGGAAAAATGAAACCTTGGGTACCTCATTCGTGCTTCAGGATAAAAGTGCCACAGAAGAACAATCTGCAGATTGTCAGCTGTCTGCTAATGCAGGAGACAGTGTTCTCTCTGGTCTCCTAGCTCATCCTGAAGATAATAACGAAAATTCCCAAACTGGAAGAAGCTCTGGGAAGTGCGTAGGTAGTGGTATACCCATTATAGCCACTGAAAGTGGAAGCTGGTCTCAGAAAGATCACACAGCCGTAGGCACGCAGGATATCTCCGGTGGATCACAGCCCCGGGAAGTTAGAGAGAAAACTGGGACAGAGTGCCAAAAACTGACTGACAAAATTTTTCCTGACTCAGAAAGTCAAGCTATTTTTCTCACTCCAGCACTGCATGAACCACAGTTTGTTGATAAGACTCAACCGGGTGAACCAGATTTAGAAAGTTTACAGTCTGAATCCAGGAAATTACAAGGAAGTCAGGAGGCAAATGTGGCAGAGAGCAGGAGGGTCAGAGGTGAAATGCAGAAGTTGGCATGGGATCGGACTTTACACGCTGGAGGAAATAATAAGCACAATACCAACTTGGACGACCTAGAACAAGTAGAAAACAGATTGCCAACCACGTTGAAAGCCAGCAGAAAATTCCCTGCTAAGGATTTAAGCCCCAGAAGACACGTAGCTACTATTTTCTATAAAGGTGGCAGTAAATCTGACTTTGACCACTTATCTCTGGGCAGAGAAAAGTGCAGGTCACTGGCTGAACCTACAGGTGAAGGCAGTATGGGTAACGATGGCATGACTGCAGAGGCTACTGAACTATCCAGCAGAGAAGCTTCTAGACACTCCCATAATCAGAACTCTAACAGCATTTCAAAGCTACATCAGGATGAACTCAATGCTGTCTCAGAATCAACACCAAAACATGAGAATTCTGAAAGTGCAACTGTAGGTGAGGAAGGAGAGTCAGGAACCTCAGCCCCGCAGTTCGCATTCACCAGCCTCAGGGAAGCGGGCTTCTCTGACCATCAGAGGAGGTCAGAGCTCCCTTTGGAGCCTGCACTGAAATCTCCGGTAAGCATTTCTCTGTCTAGCTGTCAGCAGCAACAAGGGAGAAATTTGTCTCTGCAGTGGGAACCTGAGCCTCACCTCTATAGATCAAAGAGTTTAAAAAGCATCAATGTGCAGAGTGATCTGCCATGCAAAAGCCATCCTCCCAAAGTCAGGGGGCGTCATCTTTCTGAGAGCACATCCATTGACAATGCCCTGAGTCGACTGACCCTCAGGGATGAACTTCCTACCAACAACGGGTACAGTCGAAGGTTCAAATCTTTTTCTGAACTTCCAAACTATGATGACAGTGAAAGCTGGACTTTGTGTAGCAGCAAAGCAAAAGCAGGGCCCAAGTCTGCGTCATCAATAGCCAGACCCATCGACTATGGGATTTTTGGGAAAGAACAACAGTTAGCTTTCTTGGAGAATGTAAAACGGTCACTCACACAAGGAAGGTTATGGAAACCAAGTTTTCTTAAGAACCCTGGCTTCCTGAAAGATGATGTAATTAGCTCTTCCAACACATCAGAGTCTTTAAGCTCAAACTCCCCTAGCAGTCAGGTGCCAGGAGGCAGTTTAAGTCCAAGTGAAACACTTAATATCTATGAGAAGGACCCAGTGGACTCAGACTGTGACACAGACACAACCACAGACGATGAATACTACCTGAATGAAAATGATAAAGAGTCAGAACTATGAGATGTTTCTAGAAAGATGCATGATGTGTTGCAGTTTGCTTTTCATCAAAAACCTGCCACAGAAATAGTGTGAATTTGTATGCTCAGGGGAGGACAGATTTTGAAAGGTCTGGTCTGGGTAGTGTTTGCACCAAAATAACTCATTTTTTCCTCCATACCCTCTATACCCACTTCCTGAATTCTACAAATGAGATTTCATGTTCTGAGGAGTTTTCTGCTCATTTTCCCCTCTTTGTTTGCTCTTGGTCTGTCTTCACTCCCTTCTCAAACTTTATCTCTAAATCACTTGCCAATTTTGGCTTTTCACCTAATTTTACTCTACTTTTTCACATTCTTCATGATGTTTTAAAAAATGTAAGGACCATGACAGTACAGTAAATATTATCATCCTGTTTGCTTCAACATTTAGGAACTTTGGTGGGATTTTTTTTTTTTTTTCCCCCAGAACTAGGGATTGAACTCAGACCCTTGAGCTTGCCAGGGAAGCACTTATTCTATGGAGCCATCTCCCCAGCCCCTGGTGGGATTTTTTGTTGGTGTGTTTGTTTTCTTTTATTCTCTCTCAGGTAAAGGAACTGTCATGAGGCCATCCTGTTATCCTGAGGTTATCCCTAGTGGAGCTTGGCCAGTGCCTGGGGGAGTGATATTTAAAGAACATGTTGAGGCTCCAGCTAAGGGGCTTAATCCCTATTACTTGTAGAGATTCCTCTGAGACAGTTTGTAGGGATGCACTGAATTATTAAGGGCTGAATTTATAAAGCCAAGGATTCGAGCCAGGCAACCTGATGATGCAGGCAGCTGTTCTCTACATCCAGTTTCCCCGTTTCCCGAGAACTGTCCGTTTCCTAATTTCCTTTGAGGACACTTGGGGAGGCACTTTAGCCACTGCTGTCCCGTGAGAACTCTACTTAGCCCCTAACATGCCAGGTCCGGTCTGATTTCTGAGGTTCACATGCTCCTCCATTTACCAAACCCTCAGAAAATTCTACTGTCTGTCACTATGCTGTTTTCAATAATTAATCTCATGTAAATCACTGATAATTTTGCTTTACTAACTTTAGTTGCCACACAGAAATCTGGGAATTTCTCATTTAATTCAGGATAAAAACCTATGGATATTGGTAAAGATAATTTACTAGAACTGCAGAGAGCACACATTCTAGACAGTCAACATAATTGATTTTATCTTACAGTGTTTACTACACATTTACTTCCTGACATAATTTTACTTTCTACATTTCTCACCAACTCTGCTTCATCCGCTACTAAGGACAATGTTAGGTATTGCTAAAGCATGTAGAGATCCAGCACTGATACAGTCGCAAGAACTACATTTTTGTCCTAAATGGTGACTTGCAAGCTGGGCATGGTGGCACACACCTTCAATCCCAGGAGGCTGAGGCAGGAGGATCACTGTGATTTCAAGACCAGCCTGGGTTACAAAGTGAGCTTGAGGCCAGCCTGAACTGTATAGTAAGACCTTGTCTTAAAAAGACAATCAATCAATCAATCAATCAATCAATCAATAAACAAACTTGTGTAGAAGCAAAATACCAGGGCTAGGCTAACTGCTCCCATGAAGCTCAAAACTGGTAAGGATGAGATAACTGATAGGAAGCTACTCTTTAAATCTGCCAGCTGCTTAAAACTTGGAATTCTGATCAATTTTGGGTCCCAAGACAAAGACAATATACTTGTCAATAAAGCATTTAGAACTTTTCCATTCACATTCCTATGTCAAAGGACACATAACATTGTATTCTGTGCATAATGGGTGCTTGTAAATTCTGCTTTCTTCATTTGCTACTTTCTAATTATTTAAGTAAAATTTTCATACACCACGAGGTACATTTTTATGTAATTTTAAGATATTCAGGGTTAACATTTTAATATTAAGGTTATGGATATTTAATGATCAGATTGCAGGTTCTGCTAGTAGGTACTCTGAGTCTACATGTCTCCACCCAAGGGTGAAGTGAACTTAGCTTTTGCTCAGTGAGTTCAGGCTGTATCAACAGGCAAGTGAAGGTTAAGAACGAGAGGCTGCTTTGGTTCCCAGGTACTCCACCCTGGAATTTACTGTCTTCATTCAGAGGTGATTGATGGCCCTGCTCATCCACAGTTTTGAAATGTCTGCTTGTTGGTCTGGCTCACAAATCAAGAAAAGAGAGAATTCACAAAAAAATGGTACCTTCCCTAGTTTTATACTTTTATAAAGTACTTTGTTAAAGAAGTATAGCAGATTTTTTTTTTTTTTTTTTTTTTTTTTTTTTTTGTCTTTTTGAGGCAGCGTCTCGCTGTGCAGTTCAGGCTGGTCCTGAACTCACCTTATAACCCAGGTTGGTCTCAAACATGCAGCGATCCTCCTGCCTCAGCCTCCTGAGTGCTGGGATTACAGTCATGGGCCACTTTGTCTGGTGATTGCTCTGTATTTTAACACATAAACTGCTGCTTTTTCATGTTCATTTTTGCTATAGTTCTTGTAATTTATAAGTCATTTTATATTCATGTTTTCTAAATGATATAATAATTATTAAATATCCATATAATTGGAGTAATATAACTAAGGAATCAATGAATCAGTAGTACAAGTACCTAGCAAAACATTAACTTGTTTAGATATAAGACTAATATAACCATAAATTTTGTACTATTGAATCCATTTAAAATAGGGCTTAATGAGATTACTTTCATTCTTAGAGACTTCCTTCTAAATAATTTAACCTTACATTGTTAACATGATGATTTTAGTAAAACTCCAACTGCTACTAACAAAGGCTTGGCTAAGCTTTAAAAAAAATAAAATAAAAACCTATTTTATGAACCCTGGAGCTGATGAAGGAAAGTTCTCTTAAATTGTGGTGAAGGGTGGGAATCAGATAAAAATTCACACCTCTGTAAATATCTTCCACTGAATGTTAGAGGGAACATGACACCTTATTGCTAAGCATTTATTGTTCATTACAATGCTTCAGAATGTCCTGTTTAAGTGTACAGTGTAAATATGTAAATATTTTGCTTTCTAAGCTAGTCTGGGAAACTATTCCAGCTTACTGTAAGATCACCAGCAATTCTGTGTTGTTTCTGAAACAAGCCATAAGCACTTTTGTTAAAAATTTCTTTTATGTAGTTGTTCTCTATGAAATGTGACAAGGTCCAAATTTAAAATGATGATTGTATTGAAATAAATGACTTAAACAGGTGTTCTAGGTGACTGGATTTTTATTCCCATCTTCACATATTTAAGTGTGAAAGTTCCAGGAAATATGCAAAGAGGTGGACACAAAAGTATTCAAACTAATTTTCTGGTGGCTATTGAAAGAGATTTGCCCTATAGAGGGTCTTTTCCAGTTTTTAAAGACAGGGTCTGGCTCTATAGTTCAAACTTGCCTTGAACTCAGTATGTAGCCGAGGCTGCCTTGAACTCCTGGTGATCTCCTGCCTCAACCTCCCGAGTGCTGGGATTACACGTGTGTGCCAACATTGCCTTGGTTTGTTTTTTTGTTCTGTTTTGTTTTTAACAAATCCTTTCTTTCTTTCTTTTTTTTTTTTGGTGGAACTAGGGATTGAACTCAGGCCCTTGCGCTTGCCAGGCAAGTGTTTATTCTACTGAGCTATTTCCCTGGCCCCTAGCCTTGGTTTTGTGCTTTTGTTCTTACCTATCTGTTCTGATCTTTCCTCAAAAGGCAACCCAAAACCCTTTCTCCACCAAAGACAAACCTTTTCTCCCAAGTCATCATCTTAGATGCAGACAGTACTTTACTCAAGGTATTTTCATTGTGCTTTACTAAAATTTAAAATGCATTGAGCCATGGATATAGCTCAGCAGTGCGGCGCCTGCCTGGCAAGCCCTAGATCATAAATTTGATTCCTGATACCAAAAAAAAAAAAAAAAAAAAAAAAATACAGTATGTTGAATCAAATAGTGGGTGAGAGCTAACAATATTTCCAGTTGGTCCATATTCCATGGGCCATATTTCATGGCCTCTAATTACTGGGTTCACCGGGGCACAGGGACACAGGCTGTAAAGAGGCTCATACCAGAGGTAAGGTACTGGCGTGAGAGGTAACTGCTCAACAAGATTTCATGAATAAATAATGACAAGAAGGAATGCAGAGGGAAGGAGGGACAAAAATGGAACACAGGCGAGGGAAGTGACGGGGCGAGGCCGAGTTAGACAGCACTGGACAGACGGCACCCAGCCTGGGACCCGAGATGGGTCAGGCACGGAAGCGTGCGGCTGGCTTCCCCGCAGATGCCAGCTGTGGACACCGCCACCCCAGCAAGGGCGACGTGGAGAGCCTCACCTCGCTGCCTCTGCAGTTCAGTTTTGGGGGTCTGTGCGAGCAGCCTCCTTCTCACATAGTAGTGATAACAGGATCATCTCCAGTCAGTTCAAATGGAAGAAAATCTTAGACGGTGTAAGTGGCTCAGCTCCCCAGCAAGGGGGTCCACAGGTTTGTCAGGAAAGAGGCACGGACCCTAGTAAGAGGACAAATGAATGTGTGGTAGAGTGCCGGCTCACTCAACATCCAGATTCTGAATTTTTGTGGTCATGATGGAGAAAAATTCCTTGGCAAATCCAGGTCTGTGTACTGAATCCAGACTTTCCAATCACACAGACTACAATTTGAGATCGGAACTCAGACAGAAATGAATGTGGAGCGAATGAGACACCTATTAAAGTATATTGTTCATGTCAATTCTTCTTTTGTACTGGGAATCGCTTTGTGCTTGCCAGGCAGGCGCTGTGCCACTGAGCTACATCCCCGGCCTTTATGTGATGTTTTTACTACACTTCGACCTGCAATGCTCACCTCCTTCTCCACGCAGCTGATTCCTCCTCATCTTCATGCTTCAACACAGTCGCCACCTCTCTGAGAAAGCTTCTCTTGCTTCCCCCCAGGATTAGGTCAGCAGGCCTCGTATGCCGTGTGCACAGCACTCCACTTAGAATAAAAGGCAGCAATCTGCCGCCGGCCCTGACCATCCGCAAACACACTTGCTGAGTGCGCCAAGAATGGCACTAACAGACCTCCACCCAGGTAGTTCTCAGAGTGGTGTTTGCAGCAGGCAAACTCCAGCACCACACACACACACGCATGCACGCATGAACGCACGCACACACGCACGTAAGCACGCACACACGCACGCACGCACGTATTAGGCTCAGTCCAGTTTACTTTAGACAAGATAAATTCCCCAACGGTAGCGCTCCTTTCTTAGAATGCAGCGTATTTCAGGCATTGCCGATAACTCCGCTGCATTGCCTCCATAGGATTTGGGAATCATAAAAAACAACAATAGCAACAACAACAACAACAACAACAACAAAAAAGACCAGAAGTTCTTGCTACTACTTTCAGAGTGAACAATAAAGTCCCTGTCTAATAATAGTATACCTAAAGCATAGTAGGCATCCTCTAAAGTTTGCTGAATGCTGGGAGCACAGCTCAGTGGTACATCTGACGCTTGTACTGAGGCTCTACGTGCAAACTCCAGTTTAAAAAAAAAAAGTTGAATGAATGAAATTTGATTGATGATAGAGAATTTAAAGGCATTCCCTGATCTGAAGAGATATGCTCTTTCAGGATGAAATAAGATGAGAAGAGTTGAAACAGACTCAACTGCTAACCAGCAAGGTATTCAGATACCATTATGTAGCTTCCTTGATTAGCTTTCAAGAAGCAAAAAACAAAGGTTGGGTGTTGTCCCAAGTTATATAATTATTAGGCCATCTTTTACTCTCAGGAGCAGCTAAACCTCAGACCATTTCTCTAAAAAATATTTTTAGTCTGATTTTGAAAAAGCATGAATTAAATGTGTTCTGGACAGTTCTTAAAAGTAAACCAGGGAGGTAGCTCAGCGGCTTAAGTGCCTGCCTGCCAAGCGCAAGTTCCAGAGTTCAGTCCCTGGCACCAAAAATAAATAAATAAATAAAATAATTGGAACAGAGCATGTAGATAGCCTCAGGAAATAAAATTTATCAAGGAAAGTAATACCAAGGTTAGCCCTACAACATACGAGTGATTTTCTGCCAGTTCTTATCTAGAGCGCAAAGAACATACACTATAACCTCTGCTCAGCGTTTGTAAAATGAGTCAAGAGAGCTGGTGGAAACGCAAGAAAATGTTTGCACGGGTAAAACCTGAACAAAGCAAAAATCTGAGTGAACCGATTAAAACCGCGAGATGGATCAAGGGCTGCCAGTCTCCTCCTGCACTCGGCTTCCCAGCTGAGCAGTGGCACAGGAGCCAGGGCGGTCCCTGCTCCACCGCAGTGGGGCGGCAGCCCACGCCAAGCCCAGCGCGGTCCCCGCGGCCCGGCGGGCGCCACCCTCTAGGTTTGGCCGGGACTCGTGGGTGCTCGGGAGACACCTGGAAGAGGGCAGCCCGCGTGGTGGGATGCGCAGAGGAGGAAGGGCCCTGGAACTGCGCCGGGAGGGCGACCGGAGGAGAAAGGAGGGGCCAGGGCTGGGGAGACAGCTC